GACCATTAAATCAGGTTTTCAGTGTGCCTTTGCTCTCTCGCTAACTTTCGTCAGTTTATTTGCAGCATGTTCACTCCTATCAATTATTTACAAAAGCAGTGAGGCAAACTTGAAATTCTGTAGTGTTTAGAATTAATAATTCAATGCCCTTGTTCCCTTTTATTCTTCTCTTTGTACAGTTATGTCCATAGTCACTTTTCTGGTGTTAAACTTGTTAAACAAATCAACAACGAAAATAAACCTGTCCATAAATAAATTGCATTGAACCAGACCAAAATGCAATTTCCCCCTTGGAGCTTTTATCTTGAATTGCAGCTTTAAAAACACCTTTACAGCAAACATTGATCATATGAAAGAATGAGAATTGCTTCCTGGGCTGTTAGGGAACGTCTCCCAGAGCAGTTACCAGTGTTGCTCAGTTACATCAGTGATGTGATGGAGGGTGTGTGTTTCCACTTTGTTTAAAACTATCTGATGTTGTTAAGGATAATGCTCTCAAAGGCTTAGGGAAGGTAAAGCCAGACTGTGTTTGGCCAGTCTTGGAACCAGAACTGCTCTGTTTGGTCCTGAATTGGTCAGTGAATGGGTGATGTTAGCAGAGTCCATGAACTGATGCAGAGCTGGTTCCTGGGATGTTGCTTCAAGGGTGCTCAGCACAGGGCTCCACCGACCCTGGAAGGGCCTTGGGAAGGTAGTGACCAGAAGTGATAATTTGGCTGCTCTTGGCAAGCATCTAGTGTTCAGTACTGCTGCAATGGAGCTTCACCAGGCCAGCAGAGACAGGAGGTCACTGGTGCAGGCACACTCGGCATCCTTGGGGTTCACAAGCACAGAGACAGGAGGTGCAGGCACACTCGGCATCCTTGGGGTTCACAAGCACAGAGACAGGAGGTGCAGGCACACTCAGCATCCCTGGGGTTCACAAGCACAGAGACAGGAGGTGCAGGCACACTCAGCATCCCTGGGGTTCACAAGCACAGAGACAGGAGGTGCAGGCACACTCAGCATCCCTGGGGTTCACAAGCACAGAGACAGGAGGTGCAGGCACACTCAGCATCCCTGGGGTTCACAAGCACAGAGACAGGAGGTGCAGGCACACTCAGCATCCCTGGGGTTCACAAGCACAGAGACAGGAGGTGCAGGCACACTCAGCATCCCTGGGGTTCACAAGCACAGAGACAGGAGGTGCAGGCACACTCAGCATCCCTGGGGTTCACAAGCACAGAGACAGGAGGTGCAGGCACACTCAGCATCCCTGGGGTTCACAAGCACAGAGACAGGAGGTGCAGGCACACTCAGCATCCCTGGGGTTCACAAGCACAGAGACAGGAGGTGCAGGCACACTCAGCATCCCTGGGGTTCACAAGCACAGAGACAGGAGGTGCAGGCACACTCAGCATCCCTGGGGTTCACAAGCACAGAGACAGGAGGTGCAGGCACACTCAGCATCCCTGGGGTTCACAAGCACAGAGACAGGAGGTGCAGGCACACTCAGCATCCCTGGGGTTCACAAGCACAGAGACAGGAGGTGCAGGCACACTCAGCATCCCTGGGGTTCACAAGCACAGAGACAGGAGGTGCAGGCACACTCAGCATCCCTGGGGTTCACAAGCACAGAGACAGGAGGTGCAGGCACACTCAGCATCCCTGGGGTTCACAAGCACAGAGACAGGAGGTGCAGGCACACTCAGCATCCTTGGGGTTCACAAGCGCACACAGACTTGCAGATCCCTCGAGCACTGGTACAGCCCCTCTGTCTGCCCACAGAGTTAAGGAATGATTTGTAGTAAGATCTGTGACCAGGAGTAGGGCTCAGCCAGACCAGAAAACTAGCCCTGTTTCACCTGCAGGCCCCTTTTATAGCCCTGTCTGCCTATTACTCCTCTGTCCCTCCCTGTCTGCCTTCCCCATCTCAGCTGGCAGGTTCCATGGCTCCCCTCCCATATCAGTGAACTTCAGGTTTCCATCCGTATCAGCTGCCAAGTCCCAGTTTCATGAAGTTTCTAGCTATCTGGTGTTTTTCTCATGTCTTTGTCTCCATGATGCTTGGTTGCCAGGTTTGAGCCTCTATATATTTTTGTGTACAGCTTCCCTCTTTTCTTTGGTGTATTCTATTTGACAAGCCTGCCCCAGATAACCTCTCTGGAACAAACATTGCCATATTCCACATAGCCTTATCAAATAGTGAGGCTGACCAGGTTTGGGGGTCATTATTCCATCCCTTATTCTCTGTCAGTCAGATTTCCCTCCTCAGTCACTTTTCGATCAGTGATGAAGAGATTACACTCCATTAGGTTTCAAAAGAAAGGGGCTCTTTGCTGCTATTCCTTTGGCTGAGAACTCCAAATGCCTTTGGTGGAGGTCTGTGGAAGGTGACTCCATGACTGCCCTGGGCAGCCCCTTCCCACGCCTTGCAGTCAATAAATTCGTCATAATATACAATTTAAGCCTCCCCTGGCACAGCTTGAGGCTGTTTCCTCCTGTCCTGTCACTTGTTCCTGACAAGAAGCTTGAGCCTGAACCCACCTGGCTACAACCTCCTGTCAGGGAGCAGCTGTACAGCGTGAGAAGGTCCCCCCTAAGCCTCCTTGTCTCTAGGCTGAGCCCCCCCAACTGCTTCTCATTAGACTTGTACTCCAGACTCTTCTCCAGCTCCATTACCTTCTCTGGACATGCTCCAGCATCTCAATGTCTCTCTTGCAGTGAGGGACCCAGAAGTGGACACAGCACTCAAGGTGCCTCAAGAGTGCCAAGTCCAGAGACTTGCTCTGGTCCTGCACCCACTCTATTGCTGACATGAGCCACGATGCCATTGTCCTTCTTGGCCACCTGAGCACACTGCTGGCTCGTGTTCAGCTGCTATCAGTACTCTCAGATCCTTTTCCCAGCAGCTTTCCAGCCATGGTGCCCCCAGCCTGGAGCACTGCAGGGGGTTGCTGGGACCCAAGTGTAGGGCTTGGCCTTGTTGAACCTTGCACCATTGGCCTCAGTGCATGGATTCAGCCTATCCAGATCCCTCTGCAGAGCCTTCTTGTCATCCAGCCAACATTTTGTGTTGCCTGCAAACTTCCTGAAATTGCACTTGATCCCCTCATCCAAATCATTGATAAAGATTCTAAACAGAGCTGACCCCAGTACTGAGCTGTGGGGAACCCCACTGATGCCTCGCCACTGCATTCCCCCTCTGGGCCCAGTCATCCAGCTGTGATGTAACTCCCTTTCCAGCCTTTTTAACTTTCTTATGTGGAAACCATTGCCATTGCATGCAGCAGGTGGGAAGGAGGAAGAGATGTTTTCTGTGCTCTGCCATCACTCAGCAGTGGTGGAGATCCCAGGCATGCTGCGGAATTTGGGGGAAGCAGCTGAGGGCTTCTACCCTGCACAGCAAACAACCCAGAGTCAATCCTACTCCCCCTCACCACAAAATGCTTTTCAAAAGACTATTAAAACAAATATAAAATACAAATACACATGTTCGTGGAAACCTGCCTTTTCTTTCTGCTTCGGGAGTTGCTCACATCACACTCCATGTTTCTATTTACAACTACAGTTTCCCATTGCCTGTGCCATTCCAACTCTATTGAGTGCCCCAAGGAACATATTCATAGTTCTTGGCTCTCAAAAACTATGTATTCACAGAGGCATGTTCCATCAGGGCTGTGTCTGGGATGGATGTTTTCTGCCATGCAGTGGCAGTATCACCCCAGAAACAAACTGAGAGTACCCAGGCAGAGGGAAAGGCAGAAGAGAAAACAGCGTTAGAAGGAGAGGTAGACTTGGAGCTCACTATGTTAACTGGCTGACAGCTTTCCATTCAGGAAAAGGCCTTTTCCAGTATTATTCACAAAGTAATGTCACCTAAACCAGGAGTAAGACTCCTTAACACCAACATTAGCATTCCTTTATTGCAGTGCTGGATGTTTGGGGGATGCTCCAGCTAACATGCACAGGCACTACATAAAAGTTTTACTCTTTCTGCATTTCAGAAAACACATAAATTAGTGCTTACTGGTCAGAAGTAACCAAATTCCTATTGATTAGTACTCTATTTTCTACTGGATAGTGATCGATTTGATTCTATCCTTTGGTTGAACTGGTCTTGGCCACAGTTCCTTCTTGGAATGTTCTTTATCAGGTGTTTTGCTGGGCATGAGTTTAATGACCAGTCTGTGCTTCATGTGCCAAAGCTTAATCCAAGGTTGTATAGATCTAAATTGTGTCTAACGGGTGTCCAAACTTCCTTGGTTATTTTTGTATCTGGTTACAGTAACATAAAGACAATAGAAGCATTTGGTTTTAGCATAGTCTTGGACTGTGCCTTGTTGCAAGTGCAGTGATGCTCCTTCAAAAACAGTGCCTTTAATGCAGGGATCTGCTTCAGAGAGTAGCTGATGTCAGTTTGCTCCCAAGGGTGACTTCCTAACTTTTGGATTTAACAGCCTTTAAATCCACTTACTCTTCAGATTGCTTGTGTTGACTGTCCTTGTGCTAGGAGCAGATGGAGCTGAGGGATCAGTGTTTGGATGCTGCAGCTCCTCTAAGCTTTTGGCATACTGCTAGGCCAACTGCTTTAACACTGCAGTTTCTCCTCTGTGCCTGAAGTGTTTCTTAATGTCCCTTTTAATCTGTAAACATATTGGATCAGGGACTGTTCATTGCATATCAGAGCTGAATAGCCAAGTCCTGAGTATGCCCATCAGAGACAGAAAAGAAAGAGTTAAGGTACGGCAATGAATTGTATGGGATAAGGATAAGATATGCTCCGTTCTCAAAAGGTATTGTCTTGGAGTCCTTTTGGGGTGGGAAAAGGAAGAATAAAGTGTCTGTGTGTTATAAAATAACAGAAAACATTCTTTCTGAATGTTAGTTTCACATTTTGGGGATGGATATGTTTCCTAACTGTTCATGCTGGACTCAAATAACCTTCCTTAGGGCACAAAGTGTCTTTGCTGTTGTGCAGGGACAGAAATGACCAATGCTCCTCCATCTCCCCTTCTGCCATGCTCTTCCAGGTTTCCATGGGCACCATGAGACACCGAAGAAATGGTAATTTTGAGAGTTCCAGACTCCTCTATTCCAGCATGTCTCGCAGCATTGATGTGGCCTGCAGCGATGCTGTGAGTATCTAGGACATCCTGCTGTCTGGTGGGGGGGCACAGTGGTTGTGAACCTGGTCTTATCAGGTGAGGGGGATAGATTTGGCACTCTTCCCTTTGTGGAGAAGTTTTCCCAGGGAGCGACCTTTAAGCAGCAGCAGTGCTTTGGTGAGATGATGAAACTGTAAGGATGTAATGCATTCCTTTTGATCCCTGTAGAGCTTTATTGTATATTATTAGCCACTTCATGTTTTCAATCCCTTTTCATGCTTCAGCAAGAGACTTAATTTGTCTGTATAAAGAAAAACCTGGACCTCTCACGCACTTGATGGCAAATGCAGACAGCACAGACTCATGATAAACATCCATTTATGCCTGAATGATCTGTTGATGGCAGTAATGGCCTAGCAATTCCATGCCCCTGCTGACTGGCTCTTAGGGCTTTAGCAAGTGGTTCCCACTGCCTTTGACTTTGTTTGGCCTTGCATGTTGTGACTTTTGCAGGTTAAATATGTTCCCTTTTATTTTCTTTGTTTTGGAGGTTGTACTCTTAATGTTTTTCTGTTTGGAACAACTTCCTCTAACTGCTCTTCAACCACAAGAGTTGCGTCAAACTGGTGAACTAAACTGTAGCTGTGAGTCTTTCCTTTTTGTCCCTAGCTAAATCTTGCCTTGCCAATCCAAACTGTGCTAAAATCAAACAAAACCCCCAGCCCTTTATCGGCAAGTGAGTATTTCTTTGTTCTCCTATATTGCAGAGGCATATTAGGGATGCATTTGCATTCCCCACGTGTGGCCCAAGGGGTTTCAAGGTTAACAGGAGAGTTAGTGGTTAAACAAGTTGGAGAGACTTTGCATTCCACCGCACCAGACCTGAAGTCGTTTGGGTCTCCTGCTGGGGTCCTTGTGTGTTGAACTAAAATAGCCCTACCCAAGAGGGATGTTAATGGGTTTTTTCTTTATGTTCGTTATTTTTTTACTCTTGGGAAGAAGCAGTGTTTGTCACAATCTTTGTGTCTAACCTGACTGCTGTCACTGGGGCTTCTTCTATTGTATGTGTTACCAGAAATAAGCCTTTAAAAATTATTTTCCAGGATTTGGCCAACTTCATTCAAGAAAACTTTAAGAAGAGAGAATGTGTCTTTTTCACAAAGGACACCAAGTCAATGTAAGCAGAGCTATTTTCTTGCTTTACAGGTGTGGGGAGGGGGGAGGGGGCTGGAGCTGAGTCAGGGAGGGGACATTTCCCTTTGGTTTTTGCTTGGTTTGTTTGGTTTGGGATTCTGTTTTAAGATCTAGCAGTGCAATGTCACCTTGGTCTCCTTTTTCGGGTTACTCCATGAGCGAGCTGATGCCAGCCAGGGGTCCAAGCTGCCGGCAGCCCTGTTCAGGTGTGTCCCTGGCACAGGGCTTCATATCAAACTCCCTAGCTGAAGCACAGCTCTGCAGACACAGGTGCTTTCAAGAATGCAGCACTGGTATTGTTGTATGACAATGTTTGTGTCAGAAGTTTGCATCACTGAAGTTTTTCTCTTAAACCTAAATCACAGATTCCATGCACAAGTCTTTACAGTAAAGACAGTCACTAGGTTCTGCTCGGGAAAGGATATTATAGTGGCTCCATTTTCAGGCACAGCTAACCTGTGCAGTGCAAGTTTGAGAGCCATAAGATTGCTTTTAGTTTTCTTGGGTTTTTTTTTGTAGTCTCATGAGAGAAGTGATCAAACTAATGCAGCTGCAGGAGTCCTAATATAGAGTTCCGAAGGCCCTCTAACCCCATTCTCCTCTGAAGCTGGGAGGAAAAATGCCTTGGAGAGGGAGGGAAATTAGTCTTATTTCAGAAAGTCTTACTTAGGGTCCTCCTCTGCCATCTAAAATGGGATGTTTGGCAAAGGACCAACAAAGGATGGAGGAGCTGGTTCTCATCAGCTTCTCCTTCTCCAAACCCACTGGGGAAAGGATTGCAAAACTTGCGGGGTTATTTTTGGCTCGACATTGTTAAGGTAAGCTGGTTTTATTTACAAGTTACAGCAGGGTAGAAGAAACCTCTCTGAAGGAGAGAAGCAATGATTCCTTCTCTGTGCCCCCTGAGGGAGCAGGGATATAGGCTGTACAGAACATTTCATGGATGGTGCTGGAGTTTTTCCTAGGAAAAGAATTCTCCTAGCTTTCCCAAGTAGTCCTGCACAAACTAAGTGCAGATTATTTCTCTCCTTGATGCAGTCTCAGAGTGGGTGAGGGCACTGGCAGTGCCTGCACACCATGCATGCTGTGCATCAGGCAGCCAGTGCTGGAGGGGAAGTGTGCTAGGAACACAGCAAACTGCCTGGAAAATGTGTTCAGAGGCCAGGCATCCCTTCCCTCTCAAAGTGAACATCTTGGGTGTGCTTAGACATCAGTCAGGCCCTGGGTTTGCACGGAAAATAATTGTACTTAGTAATCATGGAATCACAGAATCAGTAAGACTGGAAAAGACCTTTAAGATCATCAAGTCCCGCCCTCAACCCAGCACCACCACTAAACCTTGTCCTCAAGTGCCACATCCACACACGTTTTGAACTCTTAGAGGGATGGTACACTCCACCCTGTCCTTGGCAGCCCATTCCAGTGCCTGACCACCCTTTTAGTGAGGATTTTCTTTCTAATACCCAATCTAAACCTCCCCTGGCGTATCTTGAGGTTTTGTCCTCTTGTCTTGTCACTTGTTACCTGGGAGAAGAGACTTTGTGAGCTCTTCCTACGTGGTTAAAAGCACAATAAGGGAAAAAACCCACTTGTATGCATTAGGTTAGCAGCAGGTGAGGTCACTGAACTCAGCTTCTTGTTCATTTTCTTCATTTCAGGGCACAGTTGTAGAGTGTAACATAAGCTGCTGCTGCTATGACTTGATTTGTCACGTAGGTAAGGTCCATGAGAGGTGCCAGCTCATCCCTCAGGATAGACTGGCTCCTGAACTGTACTCCCCTTCCCAGTGCTGGGCAGCAGCAGGTTCTGGGGTAGGAAGCAGGACTAGGTGCGGCTCTACTTTATCAGGTAGCAAATCCTAGTGGACTTGCTGCTTCTGTAGCTCCACCTGCTGCTTTGGTTGTTGTGAGAGCTAACGTTTCTGTGCTCAGGATAACAGGGGTTTCACGTCTGTTCGCTTTTCTTTCAGGGGTAACTTATGTAAGTGTGGATACCCTGAAAATCAGCACATAGAGGGCACTCAGGTTAACACCAGTGAAAAGTGGAACTACAAGAAGCACACAAAGGAACTGCCTACCGATGCCTTTGGGGACATTCAGTTTGAAAACTTGGGAAAAAGAGGAAAGGTGAGTGTATTAAGGGTATCCATGAGACCCCTGCTGGGTGCTGGGGGAAGGCCCTCGAAAGCAAGGAAGGTGAAGCTAAAGTGGATTTTATTCTAATGGAAGGACTTAGGCTACAAAGGACACAAGCTGGTTTCTCAAGCCCTGAAAATAGGTTACAAAGAAGAATTTCTTCTGTGTTATTTGCCGCTTAGGGTGGTGCTGGAAGTGGAAAGAGGTTATCTATTTCTGGTCATGGCAGGAGAATGTGTGAATGAGGGTGATGCTCAAGTATTGTTTTACATGCACGTAGACTAGCTTCTCAGGACTATACCCAGATGTACACTGAGCATTTCCCCATGTGGAGATCCTACAATGACAGTAAATTCGGTGGGGGTGTAAGTGATCAGTGGAACTTTGGAGGTTTTATTCCGGTTTTTGTTCTTTTGTTTTATCCCCTGGGAAAATACAGGAGTGTCACTTGGAGTAGAGACAGCAGAGGGCTGGAAAGAAGAAAATAGCTGTTTCTGATGATTTATACTGACACTGCGTGAGGAGTCACACGTGGCTGATTTCCTCTGCCTCCTCTAAATGACTGGTATTTACCATCAGTGTAACTTGCTTAAGACAGTCAGAATAAATAAGGAAAATCAGAGCCTGTTATGTAAATTAATCAGGTTTGTTTTATTCAAAGTAGCAGAAATAACAGGCATTTTGGTGGGGAAATGAGACTGAAGGTTTTGAACCACACTTAAACAGACCCATGTGCTTCAGGTATTTCTTCACAGGGATATTTTGGCCTCATCCTACTGTGTTGTAATCTGCTGTGTGACTTTGCTGCAAGAAGCATTGTTATAGTTAAAATGGTTATACTGGTGTTGTGTTCACCCTTCCAGTGTCCCTCTCAACACCAAGGTCAGTGTTCTTGCCTTCCTCTGGAGGAAGGTGGGTTGGGTGCCTGGTTGTAGGAGGAGGATAAAGGTGCTTTAGAGGAAGAAACAACAACTTCATCATCACTTTCTCTTTTATCTTCTGGTGCTTGGAATGAGGCTGTACACTGGAGAAGAAAATGCAGTTCCTGGTCTGTTCCCAGCCATCACTATTGATCTGCTATATGTGTTTTCTTCTCTCCCACAAGTACATCCGTCTGTCATGTGACACAGACTCTGAAACCCTCTATGATCTCATGACCCAGCACTGGCACCTGAAAACCCCAAACCTGGTCATCTCTGTCACTGGAGGAGCCAAGAACTTTGCGCTCAAGCCCCGGATGCGCAAGATATTCAGCAGGCTGATCTACATCGCCCAGTCCAAAGGTAAAGACCTGCATGTGTGTCTGTGTTATTTCATTGCTGGAGTGGGAGCAGCTCAAAGGGTCAGTGGGGAAGCAGAGCATTCAGTTTGCTTCCGCTTGGCTGGTGCACTTGGGACTCCTGTGATCTAACTGTTTGCAAGTAACAGGGTTGAGAGTTAGTCGTGGGATGCCCATGGTAGTGTAAGATGAGTTGTGTAGTGTATCTTTTGTGTTTAACTAAAGAACAAATGCCTCTTCTAAGGCCATGAGAGGGGGTTGGGCTCTTGTCTCTGGCAGTTAAGGCATTAGAAGGGCGGGTGTTTCACTGCATTCTCCCAGGTTGTTGGGTATTGTCCCCAGGGGCCTGGATTTTCACTGGAGGCACACACTACGGGCTGATGAAGTACATTGGGGAAGTGGTCAGAGACAACACCATCAGTCGCAGCTCCGAGGAGAACGTGGTGGCTATTGGCATAGCAGCCTGGGGCATGATTTCCAATCGGGAAACCCTCATCCGCACTGCTGACAGCGATGTAAGGAACACATAGTCCTGGTGTTGTTAAGGTTGGAAAAGACATTTAAGATCATCAAATCCACCTGTCAACCCAGCACCACCACCGTGTTCACCACTAAGCCATGTCCCCAACAGCCATATAGATGGGTTGGTGGGGAAACAAAGAGGAGGCTCAGCCTCAAAACAACAGGTGCTCTTCTCAGAACAAGAGTGTTCGAGGTAGTCACATCAGGCCTGGTGGGAAGGATTTCTGCTGTGATTCTAACACATCCGTGTGGAAGTTCAGCTGCACTAACTTCATGTATGGCTTTCCATTAGGGAGTAACCTCTTTCATGGTTATTCTAGCTTCTGCAAAATCCCTACACACTTGCCCATAGTAGGAATTCCCATGAGCTGGGACATGTACCTGCTGCTGCTGTTCAGGATCTTCATTGATACTGTCATCCTATCTGTCTCCTGACTGGTAGACATTTTAGAACATGTCTAAAAAATCATCCTTCTGGATAAATAGCAGAAGGTTAATTTACTGAGGGCTCTAGGGAGGCTTGAGCATTGAACTAGATGATCTCAGGAGGTCCCTTCCAACCTAAAAAACTCTGTGAGGTGCTGATTTAATTATTTCTGGTGGGTGAAGGAAATGTGCATTGAAGAACTGGATCTCTGAGAGGACTAAACTGTTGCAAATAAATTCCATGGTTCTGTTGTATGAGGTGAAGTTACAAGACTATCACAAATTGGACAGCTCTTGTAAAGAAAAACTTTCTCTGCAAATATTTATGCTGTGTTCTTGTATTAGTTTCTCTCACTGTCTTCTGCTGCTGTTGGCACTTCCAGTGAGCAGTGTCTTGAGTGAGGAAATGCAGAGTACAAACTAATGAGGAATGATTTGTGGCCTGAGGTTCAGCTGTCCCTGGCTTGTCATAGAGTCACAGAATGGTTTGCGTTGGAAGTGACCATAAAAACCTCTTGTACCACCCTCCTGCCATGGGCCGGAACACCTTCCCCTAGACCAGGTTGCTCCAAGCCCTGTCCAACCTGAACTCTTCCAAGGATGGGGCAGTCACAGCTTCTCTGGGCAACCTGTGCCAGTGCATCAGCACCCTCACAGTGAGGTGTGTCCTTGTCCTGGAAGGCTTGTGTGTGCCCTGCCCCTGGAACTCTGCTAAGTGCTGTGCTTGTGCTCCTAGGGGAACTACTTAGCCCACTACATCATGGATGACCTCAAGAGAGACCCTCTCTACTGTCTGGATAATAATCACACTCATCTCTTGCTGGTTGATAATGGCACCCACGGGCATCCAACAATAGAGGCAAAAGTACGAACCCAGCTAGAAAAGTACATTTCAGAGCGGGTTATCCCTGGTAAGTGTGGTAAGGTTGAGACCTCCTTCTCAGGCCTTGGATGCTTTGGGGCTGATACAAAGTGCTTTCTATGGTAATAAAGTCACAGCAGCATCCTGTGGGTGCTGAGCTTGAAGGAATCACCATCCCTGGAGGTTTTCAAGATGAGACTGGATGTGGCACTTAGTGCCATGGTCTAGTAACCATGGTAGGGCTGGACTTGATGATCTTTGAGGTCTCTTCCAGCCCAATTGATTCTATGATTCTATGAAATATACTGTATCTTGAGTGCTTCCAGGAACAGCCAGCCCTCTTCAGAACACCTCCCTTTGCCTCCCTTTCTTCACAGCAAATGCCTTTGTATCACAGCAAATGCTCCATTTCAGCTACACAGCCCTTTTCTCCCTTCTTGCTGGGAGGTGACCCTTCTGCATACACCTCCTGGCACTGAGTTCCATGCAAGTGAAGCACAACTTACACAGGAAATTAGACTTTTCCCAAAATACTCATTTGTGGGGATGATTGATCTATCTACAACCTGCTCCTAAATAATTTCTCTTTCACCCTCTTTGACAAAATGGAAACAGTAACATGAAAAGCCTTAGCAGAAAACTCTTAGTGAAAGAGTTTTTTTTGGGGAGGTGTGTTTGGGTTTGCTGGGGTTTTTTTGGAGTGTCTCTCAAACACTAGGTCCTAGACTTATGGGATTCTTAGCTTTCCTTTACAATTGAAAACGTAAACTCAGAGGTTTTGTATCTTGACTTTGTGATAAGGAGATTGCACTGAGACTCAAAATGATCAAAGCAATAGGTAAATACAATTAAATCATGTTTTGGGGACTTTGGAGCTAGGAACAATTATGATTTCTAGGAGGAAAAAGCTTCTGTTGCAGAAGGGTGTCTGAAGCTATGCAGGATATTAGGCAAAACTGAGCTTTCCTTAAAAACAGGATGAACTGTTAATAAAATTGGCAAAACCAACAGCAAGCTAGTGTTTGCATGAACTGCTTGGAAATTTTTTCATTTTACTCAGGAAAAAATGAGCTGTTCAAACTACATTGTTTGATTTAATATTTTTTTTTCTTTTGTCCTGTTTCGCAGAATCTAATTACGGTGGGAAGATAC